ACGTTTTATATAATAAATACCTGACCGTTAACGTTTTTTTTCTTTCATTTACGTTTTACTGCTTTCCTTTTCTTATTTAAACTACAAAAATTAACTATCGAGAAAGTCGTTGCGTAAAAGTTATTGGTGCAGTTAGTTTCAAATGCTGTATTTTTCAACAACTGTTATAATATTGAATATCCATAGTTTGTGGTTTTCTGATAATTCATCTTCTAAAAGAATAATGCGCTAACTTCTAATTTACATTAATACAGAATTCCAAGCTTATAAGCCACATAGAAGTGGTCTAGGTTTTTAATAAGTCAGTGAATCAGTGAGGGATAAAAAATAACGCTTTTCAGAATGTAATGACTCAAGAATTTTTATGGGTTTATTAACAATCAGTGTTGCCATTTCTTACATTAATTACATATCGACATCGATTGTTCATACATAAAATTAAATTGTCGATGTCTTGCTGCGGTATGCGGCTTCGTGATCGTTAGAGCTCACCACAAGTCCACTGATATACACAGGCCTACCCCAAGGAACGCCACAAAGCGCACCTGAACATCCTGAACTCCTTCGCTAAAATATACAAGTGATGATTAAGTGAGACATGAGGGGTTCGGAAGTGGATTGAAACTCGCATTGGTCCGCGTCGCCGTTTTCTTTCTGAACTTGGCTGACACTGTCGTGCGTCTAGATTTCAATCAGAACTCAATATGTTCGACATTTATTACACTGCTACATTTCTGCTAATTTTTGGTGAACGACCGAACGAACCGGTTTTGAAATTTGGTCCCTGTGCGGTGCAGTTTTTACAGCTTTTAATTAAGGATAGTATCTTGTTAAATTTAAGTCAAGCAATGTGGGCAGGTAACTCTTATTTCAAGTACCTGCTCGCTGTAATATGTACATGGTTCTAATTATTAGGCTAAAATTTATTTTAATTTTTGCATTCTTCACATGTTATCGATAATGTGTCACAATGTATTTAATGTAAGGTTCAATTTAATTAATAATATTCCACACAACAATTTAAAAAATCACACCTCTTGTAGGTAGGTACCTGCTCGCATGTAATGTAAACATTTCGTGTTTTTTAACGGAGTCATTTTTAATTGAGTAATGTTGTCAATTCATACACTTGAAAGTGATATATTACTTAATATTTTTGCTGTAAACACGTTTTTACACCTCAATTTATTTAATCGAATTTTCATACTCGTCATAAGCGAAGGGTTTTCATCGTATTTGTTGAAGTTTTACATCGTAACTAATATGTAGGTAGTACTACTAGATGAAATAAGTGAAATAATGTTTACACTTATTTCATCTTACTTAAAAAGGTGATAACTGATTTCATTCTAACAAAAATATGGGAAGGACTTTAGCATTTAAAAACTGGCATACAGAATTCGCCTATGCTAAAGTTTGCTTTATATTTATGTATCTATAATAATATTAACTTAACCTGTGTTGATATTTCTTATTTTAACTCTACCCATAAATAGGTACCCCTACATATAAAGAGGATAGTTTTATTTGTTTTTAAATGAAGTCTAACGATGTTCCTATTTTCATAAAGTAGGTAATTATCCTTTGATTTAAATTTTTATTCCCTAGAGGGTTATTTTACGTTTTGCTACTTCCTAGGTGCTCCTTGAATGAATATGATCAGTTGGCCCGTACCTGATATTAACACTCTGCGACGACAATGTACCTACACAAAATAATTTGTATATAATATATAGGCTTACATATAAGTAAAATTGAAATGTCCGTTTGTACGTAAACAAAACCAGCTGTTTACTAATTGACGGCTCCGTGTAAGTAAAGTGGGTATATAGGTATGGTAGGGGAGCGGGGGGCACGTTGTTACAGGGGTAAGAAGTTACACGCGTTTTTTACTTTGATTTTAAACTCTTTGATAGATATAATTGGACTCATTTGTTTTCTTATAATATCGTGCATTAGATAAAAACAATCAGTGACCCGCCAAGCGCTGAGCTGCTAGGTTGTGTGTGTGTGTGTCCCGATTTCAACCAAGTAAGTAAAAAAATCCTTTACGAAATTTTTGATTCCTGATGACTATATTTTTTATTTTGTCAAAATTTTTAACCTTGAACGTTCATAATATATCTACCTTTAATTTACAATATTGTTTTATTCTACTGTCGATATCTATTAAAAATGACTTCAATTTATATTAAAAAACGTGTCATGGGGCAAGTAGTTACAATTGTTTGGGGTAAGTTGTTACATGTAACAACTTACCCCAAAACAAACAAAAATATTACCATATCTAGTATTGTACTGTTCGTTTTCTTATTTTAAAAATTCTACATATTCATTGTTTTATCCAGAATGAGAAACTATAATAGAAAAACAGAAAGAGGTAGAACTAGTAAAGAACTTGATGAATCTGCTGCAGCAGAAGTACTGCAGAATAAAACGAGCATTCGTAAAGCAAGCGAGATGTTTAATTTGTGTCCGATGTCCTTATCCAGGTATGTCAGAGAAACCAAAAACAACGAAAGTTGTTCATTGGATTACGTTAAACCTACTATACTAGATTGGTATTCTCAGAAAAAATAGAACATAAATTAGCTTCTTATCTACTCAAAAGTTCAGAAATATATTTTGGTTTACTACCAACAGAAGTACGCAAACTAATTTATTAAAGTGCTCTAAAATTCGACTTAAAAAATATTCCCCCCAGCTGGCATAAAAATAATATGGCTGGGCCGGACTGGTTTAAAAGTTTTATGTATAGAAATCCTCAACTAACTCTATGAACACCAGAAGCTACATCTTTGAGTAGAGCAACATCGTTCAACAAAACCATACGTTAAAGATTTTTTTGACAAACTGCAAGGCTTGTTCCAAAAATATGAATTCACTGCTTCAAGAATATGGAACGTTGACGAAACAGGTGTCACGACGGTACAGAAGCCTAAAAAAATAGTTGCTGCCCGGGGTCAAAAACAGGTCGGTGCGATCACATCTGCCGAAAGAGGGACACTTATTACTCTTGCATGTGCCATAAATGCTGCTGGGAATTCAGTTCCGCCGTTGTTCGTGATTCCCAGAATGAGATACACGGATCTTTTTCTTCGTACTGGACCAGTAGATGCGATTGGAGCGGGCAATTTTTCGGAATGGATGACAGAAGTAGAATTTTTAAAATTTATGGATTATTTCATTTAACATGTCAAGTCTTCTGCTGAACAGCCCGTTCTGCTCTTTTTGGATAACCACAGCTCGCATGTAAATTTTTATGTCGTTGAGAAAGCCAAAATAAACAACATAATCATGCTGTCATTTCCACCGCACTGCTCTCACAATTTACAACCATTAGATGTAGGAGTTTATGGTCCTTTTGAAAACCACCTTAATCGAATACAGACAGCCTGGATGTATAATCATCCAGGAAAAATCATGACGATTCATGATCTTCCTGCCGTGGTGAAAGATTCACTGCCTTTGGCCCTAAATCCTGCAAATATCATGAGTGGATTCAGAAGAGTTTATTAAAATAACTAATTAAGCAGTAAAAGTGAATAATTGAATTACTACAAGTTGTTATTTGCAGACTAAATCTGTGTTTTTGTATAAGATTTAAAAATGTTCCTGCCAAAGTGATTTTCTACAAAAATTTTTTTTTAAATAATTACTATAATAGATATTATAATTACTCATAAATGTTAGAAGACTTTATAAATGATCTCTATTTTTATATTTTGAAATACTAATAAAAATATGTATCACTGATGATTTTGTATTGGGGTCCTTTTTTTAATTTTGAAAAATTACGTAAATTTTAAAAGTATATTTTAATATAAATAGACATACTAACATTACAAGTAATCAAATATATAATTTATTTGATAGCTTTTGTCATATTAACAACTATCTAAAAATTGTAACAACGTGCCCCCCGCTCCCCTACTCATGTTAGATCTGTTTGTTCTGGCTGTCTCCGAATTTGACGGGACTTTCGCTGGCAGATAAGTGATGTTAGTATAAGAAGTAACCAAGGCTACTTTTATTTCAGAAAAAGAGTTAAGTTTTCGCTCCAAAAAATTAAATTTTAGTACTCGAACTATAATAAACTCCATGCGGACGAAGTCGCGAGGAACAGCTAGTAGTAGTAATAAAATTAGGTGCATTACACCACTACAGGTGTGACACAGGTTACAAACACAGAGCACTGTGGTGTAATTATTTAGTGACGCAGTGAGTGACAAAACATCATTATTAGTTAAAACAAGGTCCAATATTGTATCGTTAATGTTGGCGTGAGAATTAGGTATAGATACCTACTGCAATAATTAGCAGTACAGAAATTATCATACGTGTATAAACAATAAACAATTTGTATCGGGCCCTCTCGGGTGCTGTACTATATTTGTTCGTATTAGAAATTGCCCATCATCGTACCAAACAGATTAAAATCTTCTAATATTAAAAACTTATTTACTGAATAATTCTGAATTATTCTGACAAAATTATTAGATATTAGACAACTTACTTACTTAGTTGTGTAAATTCCTTGATTTTATTCGCACATGGACACGACGCATATACGTAATGTGTTTTTTTTTTGTTAAAAGGTCACAAACGTGCACACAGTTCATCTGATGGCAAGCGGATGTCATGGCATCGCAGCACATAGACATCTACATATATTCTCGACTAAGAATGCAAATACAGATGCGTTATCACTCTAGAGAACAAAGATGGCGTGCCTCGTTTCCATCAAAAACTGTCTCTGTTTCTCTTTACACACTAGATATGAACAACAGCGACACTGAGCTGCTGTTTAACGCTGGTATTCTGTGAGAGCCTGGTCCTTCCCCGGGTGAGCCAACCCTCTCGTGCTTCAGCCATAGTATAGCTGCAGCGTGGCTCCACAACGTATTGCATGTAGGTACTTAGTATCTGTTCTGTGTAGCGATGTTTCTGTCAAACACTATGTGTGTTAATGTCTGGTGCTCGTACTGTTGTTGGTGCAGAGAGCGTGCCGCTGGCGTCCCGCAACCTGCCCGCGTCGTTTTTCAACGCGGCGGCGTGCGGCGGGGCGGGCGGTGGCGGCGGGGCGGGCGGCGGCGCGTCCTGCGGGCTGGAGCTGTACGAGTACGACCCGTGGCACCAGCCGTACGGCTACGCGCGCGACTACCAGCACGTGGGCTACGGCGGGCTGCTGCTGGGCCGCGGCGGGCTGCACGCGCAGTACAAGCCGGTGGAGTGGGGCGCGCAGCACGCGCACCACACTCACCACCCGCACCACCCGCACGCGCACCTCGACCCCGCCGCCTGCGCGCCCTACTCCTACCCCGCGGTGCCCGGTAACTATACGACACACGCACACACACACCTATTGTCACTTTCACACTCAAATAACCCTACCAATAACAGAACCAGAATAACCGACAGTGCGACGAATCAATTAATTGAAAAAGCAATGGGCCGGCCGTATAAATCTGAGAATCGACATCCGATAGAGAAGTAAGGTTCTCGAGAGGCAGCCTCGTGCTAGTGGGGCGGACCGCGACCGGATTCAATGACGACATGAGAAAATACAGTAAATTGATGGATGCATAAATTAGAACCGTGTTTAAGGCATTGCTGCTCTCGTGAAGGGTTAAGATGGTGATCATGATTATTTTTCAATCAGTTTTAGCAGGGGTTTGTTTTGTAGTAAAGAGTAGAGATGAAACAGAAAATTGTTTGTCCGGATACCGGATACCGGATATTCGACCAGTCTTATCGCCGGATAGCTGGATATCCAGCCGCCCAATGTTCTGCCGAACGTTGCCGTATAGTGCATCACAAGAAGCGAAAAGTAAAGTGGGTGCAAACTGTTCGCGATCGTGACCCTTAGGTATATTTGGTGGGAAGTATTGCTACATAATACCCAAATTTATCAAAGTTTGCCAAAATCTATCTTTCAACACCCTGCAGCAGTGTGTACAGCGAAAGACTTTTTTCTGAAGATGACCTTGTTTATGAACATAGACGAAACCGCTTGGTACTACTTTTCAGTGCAGAGAAATCAAGTAGTACTTATTTACCATAATTTGCCCTCAGCTACGCAGTACTATTATTTATTCTGTGCCTTAACGCAGTACGAGTACTAGTTTTATAAATTTTAAAATGAAAACTTTGTGATTATTGATTATATTTGTTGTGACATAAATGAGGTACTTAACTAAATTTGATATTTTGTGTTTTTTTTTAAATCTCGTATCCGATCGGATAGTAGATAATTTTAGACCGGATAGTAATTTTAGTCCGGATAGGCCGAATACCGGATATCCGTTTCATCCGATTACACAAATAATTATAGTACCCATGGCAGGTAATATAAATCGTTCGTTCTTATTGCTATTTCAATATTATCTACCATTTTAATATACTGTCAGTGCTTTGCCGTCATAACACTTTCGACATGAATTCAACTTACTAATTGCGTGGCAGGGAATGTGTTTTCTGACGCTTTTTATACACACCCTTCAAGCATATTTTTGTGACCACAGAGTACTTGTTGTATAGGTACCTGAAATGGAGACGAATCTCAAGCCCAAAAACGAATTGTAGAATGTGCTGCCTCTGGTGGTGTCAGATGGAACTACTAATATTTATCATATTGCTACAGGTACTATACACGTAATATAGGTATATAGCTACTATATTGCCTTCTTTATACTATACTAGTTTATATTTTTTAGCCTTAGGCACTTATTGTAAGAACGCATTTAATTATACAATTTCTTACTATAAGTACCTATTAAGTAGATTTTCATGTAAAAATTAAAAGTTATTTCGAAAATTAAGTCATTTATTGAATAAAACTTCTTTTTTACATTTCGTCGGGTGACAAGAAAAGTCACTAAGTATAAAAAATAGGAAATTTATTTTTTTACACTAAGTATAAGTAGGTAGGTATATTAAAATATCAACAACTTTTCCACGAAAAAGTCATTATATCCATAGGTTAATTCATTTACGAAATTCCAAGAAGCAAAAATCAATAAATACAAAATATTTGGTAAACTCGGCATGTATAAAGTCACTATAAGTATAAAAACACACAAAATTCACACAAATTTCTACAATCTTACTTTTAATGTTGGACAAGGAAAAACGGCTAACTGCTTCACTTGCAATGAGTAACATGGGAAGAGAAGGAGTAACGAAATAGGCTTAATAATGTACCATTTTCTTAAACTGATACCTACCTCCCAACGTCTCAGAAATTTTACAATTTTGTGAGACCTGTGGAGGACAAAATCGAAACCAAAAGTAGCTGCCATCCTGCTCTGTGCTGTAAGTACAAACTGTAAGTACTGTGAAAACGAAACCTGACAATAACCTTACATAATAAATAAACCCTACAGTAATTATCCAGCTCCTAATAGTGCATTCGTCTCATTCTCTCAAAGTTTCGTTTTCAGAAGGTTTCTCTTGTGCCGCGCGAGACCTACACACATGTTTTTTGGACATTTCCTTTCTAGCATCGTTTGACAATTAGGCTCAGTTTAAAACCTGAGAGCGTTTTATTATTAGAGCGAGCGAGGTCGCAACAGATCAAAGCATTGTTTGGCACGCAGTTTTTGCCCGCGGGCGCGGTCCGGTATCCTACATCTCGCGGTCTCCGAACACACTTTACATTTAGTTACGTCAACGCTTATTGGTTTTTGTCTTCCTTATCTTAGCCATCTCAGACAAAGATATTTATCCGCACACAAGAATATCTCCCTCAATTAGATAAATAGAATATAATACTTTTTATTCAATTGAATCTGCTGATTTACTTTATTCAATATAGATTTGAAGCGACAGTAGCCTAATGGCAGGGCGCGGACCGCGAACTCAAAAAGGTCGTGGGTTCGAATCCGCCATTCGACTACTGGCGTGAACCACTCGTAACACAAACAATTTAAGCTTACCACGAGTGGTTAAGGGGAATATTAGTAATGTGTATAGCATTGTTAATATTCTTTCTTTTAAAAAAAAATATGTTTGTTCGGTAAAAACCCCTGTCCTGGGAAGAACTAGCAAGAAACCCAGAGCGATTATATTTTTAAACATATATAACTTTACAACCCAACTTTCACTAGGTACCTATGCCATCCACAGCGTCTGGTTAAACTTAGCGACCTTCAAGAAAAGAGCATATGCGATTCCCCTGGTGCTGCAGTCGTTCACAAGCGGCGGCAGTTACTTGCCACCAGGTGAGCTGCGCTCAGCGCGCTTGACTGCCCACTCGTAGGTATATAATAAAAAAACAATAATTTTGTACAATATTTATATGACTTAACAGAACCAGCATGCAGGCAATCACCTTATTCCCAAGGGTTATTTTCATTCATGTATTGATTGATATGATAATAAACTTATTTATTGAATTTTTCTTCAATAGAAGTTTTAAACTTACCTACCTATTGACTAATAAACTTTGTGAACATTTTCTGGGATTTTGATGTAAAAATGTAGATACCTATAAACATTGCGCTTTAAATGAAATACTTACTAATTCTGTGGAGTCTATTATTAAAAGTGTATATTATGGTATGCGGTTCGTAGTCTGATTAATAAACCTTCTCGACTGTGCTAAAGTAAATATATTGTTTGTGTGCGTTCTTGTTTTTGATTAGGCCCGTACAAATATATAGGTATCCGTCAAACACACCTCCTCACAGGTAGTCGAGTGACAGACAAGGTGGCGGTTCCTTCAGAGTACAAGGCGGGCGGTATATTTTCATTTTCAAAGAGATTCCGCGCGCGGCGCGGCGCTCTAATTGTGATGATTCAGCTGCGCCAGTGACGTGCGAGGCGGTGCGGCACGCTCTGAAACGCCTGCCCCTCCCCCTGACCCCTGCCCCCCCCCTCCACCCGACACACCTAATCCTAAATCAAATAGGTAAAACGGATAGAAATCCCATCGAGATATTCATGTCAATGATAATTTTTTTCTGCTCTATAATAATAAAACGAATGATTTACGTGTTTCAGTTTGTGTTCAATGTCAACAGACAGTTCAATAAGATTCTAAGTAATTGAAATACCAAGACATTCTATTCTAGCAATAGTTTAATGACAGCATAGAATTAAACTTAGAATACGTAAGAAAATTGTAACTCTCGCGTAGAGCAAGATATTTAATGGAACATGGCAACAGGTAGCAAGACCAGGCGACTGCGGTAGAAATCGCCTTTTGTTTAAAATTTAGAAGCATTTAATTACAAACCTGTTCATATTGTAACTTTGTTTTCAAAATAGGACTAAACTAGTTATCGGTTAAGCATGGCAGTTAATTAATACGAATATAATATGACTTGAATAATTTGAAAAGGAACAGGCTTTCAGTTTGACTACATCTATATGTAGGTAATATACGTGTATGTATTTAACTCACCAACTCTGAGGTCAGTTTCAAACCGTCTCCACGATACGACACGACACCGTAGTGTTTTTATACAACACAACACACCTAAATATTTACCTTATTTTGGCGGCAACACACTAGTGAATTTGTGACTGTTAACATCCAAAAATTTGAATTTGCGGGAATAATCGTTTTCTTTGCATCTATTGCTCAGACGTATTTCATGAATTCATTATTATAGCGCTCAGATAAGCCATAAAATAAAGAGATGTGGATAAGCGGTATGATGACAAAGATCGGCCGCTGGGGCCGCTGCGGGCGCGCGGGCAAAAACCGCGGCGGCGACTTGAAAGGAGGCGGCTCTGCTCTAATGACGGTGATTAAAATTAATTTGCACCGCTCGGGGGGGGGGGGGCACCGAATTAAATTCTTCAACTTCTCCCCCCTCCCTGCATTCCCTAGGCGCTGCAGTCGCAACCCCTCGCGCTATCACTAGACGAATGCCCGCTCGAGGCAATTCGGATTGAAGGCTTGGGTCGGTGCTTGTTTTTGCATTTTAGTTACTATGTTAGTTAAATTTTACCATCATGAATTTGCAAGTTCTTTAAAAATGGCCTCGTATCCTTTGCTTATGTCAAGTAATAAGAAATAATTCTATTTCATAACATCACGTTGTGAAGTTTTCTGGAGATTTTGCCGGCAGTCACAGACGACCGTATCAAGGCGCCTAAGCACACAATATAATACCTGGAGGTTCACATCTACATCGGAGCACTTGTTTCTACGTTTCCATTAATAGTTCACATGCGCAGACATTTGATACACAACATCGCATCCTTTCACACCATTCTTTAAACAATTGTATACGGAAGCAGCGACCGCAGGCGGACAAGTTCCAACAAATTCTCTGAATTAATAAATGCGCTATACAATAATTACAGAAATAGCTGCTAGCGTTCTTGGTAGATACTAATTACTAACTAATACGCGGCGTTTGGAACTAAATGGTGATTTTGTTTTTAGTTTTTTATTATTAAAATAAATAATAAAAAATATTTTGTTATATTGATGTTAATAAATGTCTACTTATTAACATTGTTAATTTAAATATTTCTTAACTCCCAAATTCAGTTATCATTCATTTCGAGCATAGCTCCAGCCCATGACCCCTCCCACAGGGAGTAACTTGCCATAGTTGCCAGGCTTGATGTGCGTGTTGGCAAACGTTTTTATGATATTGAATTGTTATTAGAAAGATGCTGGTATCCAAGTTTTGCTTCATGTTTCTCTGGTGGTTTCTACGAGACACGCGGGTAATATTAGGTATATATCTACTGAATGTTTTAAGACGCGTGAGCGGCAGATCCGAGTGAATACATAATTTCTATAAAAACTTAAAAAAGCCGTCATGAGGTCTAAAATCACGTAGCGCCCGCGACAGTAAGACCGCTTAGAAATTGTCAGAATCTTAAAATATTTTAGAAAAATTGATTTAAGTAATCAAAATAATGAGCAAGTAGATTACGAATATTGATGTTATGAATATATTCGTGTGATTCCGAGACATATAGATTTAGTAACTTCGTTGTAATTTCAACTAGGTATAGTGATTTTTAGAGGTGTTTTCGCAAATATTTATGATTGAGTTAAAATTATACAAACGTGTTTTTGAACAAGCAAATCAAGATAAAGACATGAGTTTACCTAAATATCAACATTCCAGTAGTGTTAGTTATTAGATGAGAGGAGGTGATTTTTAGCACTGCGGTGTAAATTAATTTTTTGGGATAACTCGGGTTATAATTGTATAGGTAGTACTTTTATTATAAAATTTGTATGTAGACACATTCGTTCAAGATAACAATTGCGCGTGCCAATGAATCGTTTCGTTTTGCATAAAATACCTTCAGCCATACCATTGGTACTTCATATAAATCAAAGAAATAAATGAAATAGGTATTAAACTGCCTATATATTATTTTTAAAAAGTTACTCCTACATTAGGATCTGTTCCCTTATCGTGGAGGCAGTTTACAAACGTAAACTGCACAAGGACAGATATCCAGACCCGGAACAATTAGTGCGCCATACATACAAATAACTACTTTTTAACTTCCCGTTAAGAAAATTGAAAATTTTCAAAAATAGGGCAGTTATTGTTTTACCCCGTTTTTCGAAAATTAGGTTTTTATCAAATCTTAACGTTTTGAATTCACAGGAAGCTTTTCTCACAATTTTTCGATGGTGCCTGTATGTATGTACCTACTATATATGTGTGTGTGTGTTTAGATGGATTTAAGTAAACTTCTTATAACTTTTGAACAGCTTCACCAATTGAAATGAACTAAGTGGATTTCTAGTGTTTCATCAAACTTAGATTTCCTATGAATTTTAACTAATTCGAACCGGTGGATTTTGAGAAATCTTAAAAACAAAAATTTTGAAAAACATTTTTTTGAATAACTTTTAAAAGGTTTTGCTGATCGATTCCAAAAACTAATCAGCACTTAACCTTGAATAAACCTTGTTGATCGCCGCTAGTCTGGTCAAAATAGGTTGATTCGTTCGTGAAATATCGTTGACGAAAAATTTTGAAAAAATTGATTTTTTTAAATTACTCCGATTTTTCATATTCAACGTCACAATCATAATTTGAAATTAACGGGAAGTTGCAGGGATGGCCTGCAGGGTCCACCAATTTTCCGTGTGGGGTTCCAACATGCGGTCCTCAGCGCCCCAAGTTAATATTAGGCCACGTCGCCACGAACACGTCATAAGTTCTACAGTCTCTTTACCCACATGACTTCAGTGGCTGATTATATTCAATCTTTAAAAATCGTCGAGTTATCTTAATCGTACGACTAATACCGACTTACGCTAACAAAAAAAATTTGCAGTGAGGTGCCAGACAATTAAACCTAACTGTCATCGTTTTGTTGAAACGCCAGTGATCACTTCACTTTGATGTAATATATAAATTAAATTAAATTGAAGTGCCTGTCTGTAACAATAAAAGGCCCGCCATCTGTGAGGTTCAGGGGGTTATTTAAATTCTATTAATAGATACATAAACAAGCATTTGTATAAGGTTTGTACCTAGGTCTGTCTGTGTGCTTATCTTCGAAATGGCTGAACCGACTGTGAAGGAACTTCCTGCACATACCTAAAGTTTTATTTATTTTTTATTTATTTATTTATTTATTTCTACCTCTGTCTTTACAGGCATAATACGACAGTTTAGGCACATAAAACTATCTAATTTAATAAGTACAGAATACAACTTATCAACTATTATAACACAACACATATGATTTCACTTTTGTGAATTTACCCAAGGAACAGCAGAATAAATCTATACCCTGTGCTACTTTATTAAGAGTGTGCAGCACTCGGGTCAGTGGGGCCTCCTTTAGAAGGTTGGTGCGTGCGCGCGGTACCGCGAACAGCGGCGGCAGCTTCCGGCGCCACACATACCTGTCCGGCACACACAACTTGGCCATTCGCAATATCGCCTCGTTATACACTTTTCCACGCAGCAATTTAAACATACATGTTGCCAAACTTAACTCCCTCCTAACCTCCAGTTTGTTATACCCCACCATGCCTAGAACAAATAATGTTGGGTACATTAATGGGTAGAACGGATACACTCCATATAATTTTAAATAAAGAAATCGAGTAAATTTATTTTGTATCCGTTCCACCATCAATTTGTACTTAGCTTCGTGCGGGCTCCATATAAAGCCATTACACTCTAGGTGACTTCACTAGTGCTTCATACAAGGCCCGGAGCGCACCGAGATTTGTATATTCCCGCGACTGACGCAACAAAAATCCTAAATTTCTATATGCCTTCTTGCAAATCTTATGAATGTGGTCCCTAAAATTGAGTTTTGAAGTAAAGTGAACACCAAGGTCTTTTACCTCTGTTACCCGCTGCAAGGCTACTCCGTCTAAATTATATTTGTATGTGTGAGGCTGGCGTGAATATGTGAACGACATGACTGAGCATTTGGAAGTGTTAAAAAATAATTTATCCCTATGATTCCATTGTACTACTCTGTCAATGTCTGCCTGTAGTTTGCCACAGTCAGCTGAGTCCTTAACTATTGACACCAATTTTAGGTCATCCGCAAATAGAAGACATGTTGATTGCCATACAACATCGGGTAAATCATTAATCATTAGGACAAATTTCAGGGGGCCTAAATTACTACCTTGACTCACTCCTGACTTGGTAAGGTATGGTTCTGACAGTTGACCAGCCCAGTCTACAAATTGGCTCCTGTTTCTCATGTAACTGACGAAAAATGAGAATGTTTTCGGCATACAACCCGACTGCGCCAGTTTCATGAGTAAGATATCATTGTCGACCGTGTCAAACGCCTTACGGAAGTCAAGGTATGCGACATGCACCTGTGCTCCCGAATCCACTGCTG